GCCCTGTGACATGCTAACTTTTTCTCATCCTTTAGTTCTCAGCTTAAGTGTTACTTTCTCAGAAGATCTTGACTCTCCGTCTAAAATTAGGTCTCTCTTACCCTACCTGGTTTGGCTCAATGAATAGAGTGTCAGCCTGCGTACTGAAGGGTCCCGGGTTCGATTCTGATCAAAGGCACATTTCGGGGTTCCTGGCTCAATCCCTAGTGTGGGTCATGTAGGAGGCAGTTGATTAATGATTCTTTCTCATTGTTAATGTTTCTGTCTCTCTCTCCCTCTCCCTTCCTCTCTGAAGTCAATAAAAAATATATATATTTTTTAAATCAGGTCTTTCTTTTTCACTTCATAGACTGGTAACTTATGTTACTTTTATCTGCCCACCATACCTTTCTTTAAGGAGCCCCTATTTTAAACAGTTTGGTGGGACTATAGGTTATAATACTTGCCTCCCCCAGCTAATGGGGTAGGCATGTGACTCACAGAGGACCAATCATATTCTTCCCTGAGACTTATATATGGTGTCTGGGAGAGAGAAGCTCTTTTTGCAGGAGTTGGGACAATATGAATCTGGAGCTACCATCATTCACCTTACTCCCCATGCAGTGTTTGGCTACAGGAAGAGGTTGAAGGGATAAGCAAAGCTGAGAACTAGAGAGTACAATTAAGTCCAAGGTCTAGTGGACTTCACATGTATGTGATCTATATATATATATTTTTTTTAAGTTTTTATTGAAACCTAGTTTGATTTAGGGTTTTATCACTTGTCATAACAAAAGTCCTAACTTATGCAGAACTTATCACAATTTTTAATAGCTTTATTAAGATATGATTCAAGTACCAGGTAATTCACCCCTTTATACCATTTGAATTATATATTTTTGTATAACTACTTGTTTAAAATTTATTTCCTCATTAGCTCCAGGACAATAAGGATTATAGCTGTTTTCTTCACTGTTATATCTCAAGTGCCAAAACAGAATTTGCCTGGTTCAGAGTACATGTTCAAAAAATATTTTTAAATGAATAACTGAGTAAATGTATGAATAAATGAAAATCTACCCTAGTCTGGGTGCTTGGGAATAATGAAACAAATTAGACATAACTTTGCTGCTCTCGAGGTCAAGTAAGCAAGTTCTGGCTAAGCAATAGAGGAACGCTCAGGAAATTGAGTAGGACAGAGATTGGTTACCTTGGCCTGCCCAAATCTGACCACTTCATTAAGGCCTTCTTCAAGTGCCTCCCTAAACCCTTTATTAAGAATCTCACTTCCATCTATGTTTCTACGTAAGTTTGATAGAGCTATACTGACTCCACTACTTCCTAACTATGTAATCTTGAGCAAATTACTTAATCTATGAACGTCATTTATCAGAGTATTGGGCATGCCCTATAGTACCTACCTTGAAGGGTTATATTGAGAATTAAATGAAATAATGCAAAGTACTTCATATAATGCTCGGCTCAATATATATCACTCATTATTACCATATTTGCCCTATAGTGTGGTTAAGTGGTTAGGCTCTGGAGCCAGACTGCTGCTTGAGTTCAAATTCTGACTCTACCTATTACTAACTGTGTGACCTTAAGCAAGTTACCCAACTCTTTGTTCCTCAGTTTTCTCATCTGTTAAAAAAATAACTTGGAGATAAGAAAAGTATATGTCTCAGAGGATTTTAGGAGAATTGAATTAAATGAGTAATACCTTAAAACATTTAGAATAGTGCCTGGCACATGGTAAACATCTAATACTAGCCAGCTTACTTTTAAAAAAATCTTAGTCATAAGGACTTGGCATGCTGGCTATCTTTTTTTCCTAATAAAAGTAATTCACCTTTTAAAAACGTAGTCTTATTTAACTCTACGGGCTTGACATGTTGATTATATATTTTTTCTAATGCACACCAAAATATATACACAAAATCATCTTGCACACTTCCAGTGTCTTGGGTCTCTCTCTTTGGGAAACACTGCTCTAGGCTCGCATGTTCCCATGATTTATGGTTCCCTGAACACCATGTGCTATTCCTTGCCTTTGTCAGTGTTATTCTCCCTGCTTAGAATGTCTTGCCTCGCTTTCTCCCTTGGCTGCTCCTACTTGTCTTCACGACTCAGCTTAGGCATCGTCTTCTCTGACCCCAACTGAATTAGGTGCCTCCTCTGTGCTCCCACAATCCCCAGCATATCCCGAGTTTATCACAACAGTGATCACTTGGGGTATCACTGTTTCTATCCTTCACAGACCAGGGAATGTCTCCTATTTCACTGCACAGTACCTGGCATAGAGCAGGTACTCAGAAGTCTTAATTGGATTGAAGTAAAATGAGTAGCCAAATACATAACATAATACACATTTAATTGAAACATATTTGTGCAGTATCTTCTCAGTGCGAGGCCACATACTAGGCGCTGCAGGTACAAGATAAATAAGATTAATTTCCTGGCCTCATGGAGCCTTTGGGAGATAGACAAGAAAACAAGGGCACCCAAGTGCCATGGGCACTGTGACTGCTGCCTGTATGGGGTACATTAAGTGGGGACCCAAAGAAAAGAGCTCTGGGCAGCCAGGAAAGGCTTCACAGAAGGTGTGCAGCTTGAGTTGTTTTGAAAACTGTGTGTATGTGTGTGTGGGGGGGGGGGGGTTTCACTGGATGAATGAGGGAATGGGACACAGAAGAGAGCATTCCAGACAGATGGGGTTCAGAGGGTCCAGGGAGGGTACTGAGTGTTTCTCTGGGGACAGCAGGTTGAAGACATAAAGAGACAGCCTGAGGTCACCTAGGTGTGGGTGGCAGAACATGCTTTCTGTTCTGTGAACCACAGATGGGGGAGGTACTTTCTGAATCCTGAGAAACTCTGTGACGGTATAAGAAGAGTACGACCCAAGATAATTCAATCTTCCTTTTTATTACTTAACTAGAGGCCCAGTGCATAAAATTCAGGCACAGGGAGAGTCCCTCAGCCCGGCTTGCACTCTCTCCAATCCGGGACCCCTTGGGAGGATGTCCGACTGCTGGTTTAGGCCCGATCCTAAATTGGCAGTTGGGCATCCCTCTCGCAATCCAGGACCGCTGGCTCCTAACTGCTCACCTGCCTACCGGCCTGATCCCCCTAACTGCTCTCCCTTGCCAGCCTGATCCCCCTAACTGTTCTCCCCTGCCAACCTGATCCCCCTAACTGTTCTCCCCTGCCAACCTGATCCCCCTAACTGTTCTCCCCTGCCAACCTGATCCTCCTAACTGATCTCCCTGGTAGCCTGATCCCCCTAACCACCTCTGCCTCTGCTCCGCCACCATGGCTTAGTCCTGAAGGATGTCCAGAAGATCGTCCAGAAGATGTCCGGTCTAATTAGCATATTACCCTTTTAGTAGTATAGGTATATTTATTTTTTAATCCTCACCTGAAGATATTTTTTCCATTGATTTTTAGAGAGAGTGGAAGGGAGAGGGAAAGACAGAGAGAAACACTGATGTGAGAGACACATCAATTGGTTGCTTCCCATATGCCCCCCACCAGGGCCGGGAGCCTACAGGGAGCCTGCAACAGAGATATGTGCCCTTGACCGGAATCGAACCTGGGATCCTTCAGTCTACAGGCCAACGCTCTATCCACTGAACCAAACCAGCGAGGGCCCTTTTTGTTATTTA